CCCCAAAACCCCAAAACCCCAAAACCCCAAAACCCCACTATGGCTTATAATACTAATTTATAATTGTATAATTAAAAGATGAAGAGTGAAGAAAACACTAGTCCAAATGTTTCAGTAGAGGTAAGCCCTTCTTTCCTAAAGAGCCTCTTGGCCGTCTTACTTTGCACCTTGTTAAAAGTTGATTCTCAAAATCATGTTTTATACTGGAATAGATGTAGCTACCTTCTTTAAGTGAATGAGCAGACTTGGCTGCTTACAATACCCCCATCTCAATTTGAGAATTTGCCACCTAATTTTTGGGTCACTTCTGAATGTATTTAAAAATGAAGCTTCCATAAGTTCTTTTTAAGATTTTCTCAAAAATTTAACTATTAAATCTACAGAGAAGGTGATTTCCTCCTGGAGGTTTACTTAATAGAGAAGGCTTGTTAGATAAGAAGGGGTCATTTTCTACCTATTCTCACTTTCTCAGCCAGAGAAATATAATTTAGTTACATCTATTTTACTTTGAGAATTTCTTCTAAGAGCGATTTTAAATATAATGGGCAAAAGATTCTACAACACTTCAGCTTTATGTAAGTCCTAGCTTATAGAAAGTATATTGTATTGGTTTTTATGGACTCAAGATTATTGGAGCTTTTCATGATGAAGTGTTCCTCCAATGTGACCCTTATTTTGTGAATAAAAATCTCAATGAAAGTAATTATGCTGGGCTTATCTTCCACAGTAATTTCAGATTCTATTCCTTTGGTGAACGACTGGCGCTAAATAGTGGATTTGTTCTCATTCACTGGTTAAAACTCTTCTATCACCGATTTATTATAAAATTCCTGATTTGACCTAAATAATAAATTTTTAGAGCAAGACTATGAAAAGGTTCAGTAAAGCCTTTGATAAGGAATTGAATGGAGATCTAGGTGAGAGCAGTGAAATTCTTGGTAAAAATAAATGAAATAAGTCTAAGTACAAAACCGGCCGCTGGACTGATGGTAAGTTTACATAAATTCTCTAAATATTACTCATATTTTCTAATGCGTTATCATAGATGAGCATAACAGATTTCTGGAGGCGATAGATAAATATGGTAGAGACTGGAAGAAAGTTCAACAGTTTGTTGGAACTCGTTCAAGCACTCAATCAAGATCACATGCACAGAAATTCTTTAAGAAAATTAACTTGACTGAAGTTAAGCCTGGTCTTGGACTGATTAAGCATAAATCGCTGAATGTTTCCTATAAGGGGTTAAAGAAACTTAAGGTTATTGAAGAAGATAGCTCTGATGATGAAGAAATTCTTATATGAATAGATAACATCCACACTCCTCATCCTAGATTAAGAAAACCTGCCCCAACTTTAAATGAAGAAGAGAAGTTAAAGAAGTCTAAATCAGTAGCTCCCCAGAGTAATGTGAAAGAGTTCAAGCCTGAAAATGATACCTACTTCTCTCCAGAAGAGGAAGACAAGAAAGAGGTCAAAGCAAATTCTGAGAAATTAATGAAGCAGCCAGATCTTCTCGCTTCAGCTCCGAAAAATGCTGAGTCAGTGAGAACAACTGCAGCTGATGATTCTCTGGCTAAGGATGGAAAGTCTTTTGACAACACTAATGCAAGCATTCATGATAATGAGCTTGATAAACATCCCCTTGTTGGCATGAAACCTTCACAAATCGACTCAAATGAGGAACCAGTCAATCCAGTCAAACTCCATATTAGTGGAGATGAAGGAGAAAACGATATTTATAAAGAAAGAGGTCTAGGATTTGGAGAAGACAACCTAAGTTGCCACTCTGAACACTTCAACAAAAACACAGAGAAGATTCATGAGCTTGATGAGGAGAAGAATCTTGGTCTTGATGGTGATCACTTTGGTAATAATGACCTTGAAATGGTATTCCCAGATAAAATCCCTCATCTCGACAACGATAAAGCTCCTGAGCTTCACGAATTTGAGAAGGACTATGATATCAAACCTTTTGGGAACGATGTTGACGAATTTAGCCACCATTCGAGCATACTACACAACGAGTTCATGGAACGTCCTTCTGCAGAATTAAACTATTTTTAATCCTGTTTGTAACCTGCTTTAATATTATCATTTTCAAACCGGGAGCACCACCAGGGGTTTTGGGGTTTTGGGGTTTTGGGGTTTTGGGGTTTTGGGGTTTTGGGG